CTGGTACAAGCTAATTTCTAATCATACACTTTCAAGTCTTCCTGACTACTTTCTATATTGTCATCGAAAGATATATCCACTTGCTCTAGAGATTATTGTTTTGCACTTGGGATCTTAGACCACCTTTGCTTTTTTAAATGGGTTTCTTGGTGTCTCTTTCCAAGTTGTGCCGTAAAGCCCTCACCGCCCAAAGCTTTGCAGTGATTTTGTTCAGTGCAGCAGCGGCAGCTGGGCTGAAACTAATGGCAGCAAAGGCCATATTTGTCACAAGAGGTCTGCTTGAGATACCAAAAATGGAGAAATCAATGTCCTTCAGAGAATGAGTGTTCATGGTGTTGAGGGTCTGTAACAATTAAAAGAGGCACCACCTGGCCCCTTACAAAGGATGCTGAATGCAGCCGTGGTCCAATCCCTCTTCCTTCTTGAGACAGGAGGAGAGGCCCCGCTCTCATCCCTTCTATCACCCCTGTGCTTCTTCACCCCAGGCCTCATCTTGCCTTGCCACTGCTTCCGCCTTGCCTCACCTGTCGCCTCCCCACACCTGGGAGGATGAACCAGCCATGGGCAAGGGTTGGGGTCGCAGCACAAGTCAAAGCTCCTTACCATGATTCACCTTATGTTGTTGTCACGTTCCCTCGTGTCCCTTGGTTGTTTCACCAAGCAAAGGGCACAAGCCACGTGTCATGTCGCTGCCACCAGTTGATTACATCCACATTGTTTATTATTAATGACAGAGGTCCAGGCAATGTGTCATTTTTAAAAGAACCAAATAGAAGTTGTTGATTATTACAGGTGATGAAGGTACAATCAGTGTTGTTAACTCTTAACAAAACATCCTCCTTCCTCCAGTCTCGAATGTCCACTCTCCTTCTCTCTCCTCCAAACTTTCAATCCTCCTTATCTCCCCCTCCTGCAGAGACTCTTATATCTGGTGACTTCGCCTCTCCAGCACTTTCATTGGTACATGCAAATAGCCTATTAATATTCATGACCTCGGTGGATGCCACAGTTATTTAGTCGCCTTGTAAAACATCACATTCTGTGATGTTACACCTGATTCAACAGTGGTTCTTAATGCCTTTGTAACCATGCCCTGAGTTAGGAATCTGGAGCTAGAGGTTGAGAACACTGTACCTCCCAGGAGAAGAGCCAGTCTGAGGAGTTATGGGCAGACTGTGCAGTCCCAGGGTGCCCCAGGAAGAAGAAATGATGGACCAAAAGGGTTGTGTTTTCCCTGTTTCCAGGGAACTGGATTTTCACAGCCATGTCTACGCACTGATATGAGCAAATGAGGTGCTTGTCATTTCTTAGAGATCTAAGGGTAGCCTTAGTCTGGCTAAACACAACAGGGATACACACAGAGAGCCTTCTAAAAAGGCACCACTTTCCCTTGATTTTCATGGTATAATCCTGCTAGTTGCTCATGAGATCAGTACCCTAATGTAGATATCTTGGCCTGTTTTATTTGTTTGCTTCTTTATGTTCATTTATACAATTCTTATACGCACGCCGAGCACAAAACCACTCACCACAATCCTGGTTTCTGGAATATTTCACCTTTGAGGTGAGAAGAGAGTGGCAGGGGAAGGAAGCATTTCCCAAAACATCAGACTACACAAAAATAATGAAATGAGTACAAAAGAAATATAACCTAAACAATAAATCGATCAAGGTTTAAACACCAAGATTTAATATACAGTTGGATTGATTAGGTAGCCTTCAGTCTCGAGAGACTATGGTAACGTGGTCTGAATAGAGGACTTGGAACAGCGTATAGTGTGGCTGAGAAGGCCAATTTGAGAGTGACAATCCCTTCCACAATGAGGACAAATACAATCTGTCCCCTGTCCAGCTCCCTGATTTTGTTGGTTTCGGGACTGCCTCTTTGCCTCAGCCTGCTTGACAAGGGTCTCTTCAAAATTGGAGAGGCCATGATGCACTGCCTGCCTCCAGGCTGAACGCTTAATGTCAGTGTTTCCCATCTGTTGAAGCCCATTCCTAAGTCCTTCACATCCCACTTGCAGATATCCTTGTATTCTCACGACATGCCTGAGACAACATAGATGTCGCTGTTTCAATAATGTATACATCCTAAAAATTCCAGCTCATTCTAGGACAATTCTATTTGGAAGTTTGTCCTGCCAGGTGATACCAAAAATGCATCAGAGACAATGCATATGGAACATGTTCAACTTCCTCTCCTGCCATGCACAAAGGGTCCAGGACTCACTGCAGTACAGGAGTGTACTCAGGACACAGGCTCTATAGACCTGGATCTTGGTATATGCCGTTAGCTTCTTATTAAGCCATACTCTCTTTGTGAGCCTAGAGAACATGGTAGCTGCTTTGCCAATGAGTTTATCCAGCTTGACATCTAGGGAGAGTGTCAGAAATTGTTGACCCAAGGTACACAAAGTCATGAACAACCTCCAATTCTTGTGTAGAGATGGTAATAGAGGGAGGTAAGTCCACGCTCTGGCCCAGGACTTGTATTTTCTTCAGGCTGATTATTCGTCCAAAGTCCTGGCAGGCCTTGCTAAAATGATTCATGAGTTGTTGGAGGTCTTCAGCAGAATGGGCAACAACAGCTACATCATCGGTGAAGAGGAAGTCCCAGATGCATTTCAGCTGGACTTTGGTCTTTGCTCTCAATCTAGAGAGATTAAAGAGCTTTCCATCTGATCTAGTCC